GCTGTATGAATGTGTGTGTAGTAGAGTGCTGTATGAATGTGTGTGTAGTGGAGTGCTGTATGAATGTGTGTGTAGTAGAGTGCTGTATGAATGTATGTGTAGTAGAGTGCTGTATGAATGTGTGTGTAGTAGAGTGCTGTATGAATGTATGTGTAGTAGAGTGCTGTATGAATGTGTGTAGTAGAGTGCTGTATGAATGTGTGTAGTAGAGTGCTGTATGAATGTGTGTGTGGAGGTAAATGAGGGCACAGATTGTGTTGTAAAGAGCTTTGAGTATCTTGATTAGATAGAAAGGTGCTACAGAATTAGTCAATTTACCATTTACAAGTTGGTTTGGATAGTTTTTTCCTTTAACAAATGAAATAAGTACATTTTGTATTTATTCAGGTGATCTTCGTGTGATATTCACATTTGTTTGACGACTTCAAGTGTGTGAATGTGACAAAAACACAAACAGAAGGAGACTGCACGTCTTGACATTCAGCCCACACCATGTGCTACCTGGAGTTTTAGCATTTTGTTTGTTGACATCTGATCGGCCTGTAGAGCTGCTCCTCTGGCTTTGAGCTCCATGATTCTATGTTCAAAATCTTTCAAGCTCTCCTCGGCACTGGAAATGACCTGAGACAAGAGAACGACATCAGCGAATCATATTGTAACATTCATGTGAGTGCGCGCATGTTTAGTGTGATGTTCGCGTTACCTCAAGTTGTTTTGACACAGGTTTATCCATCGCTGCAGCTAAGGCTTGAAGAATCTGGCATTTGGTCTCAATCAAATCAGTCTGGAGTAGCTGCAAGTCAGTCTGAGTTGGAAAGAAAATAATCATTAAAAACAGCACTCCTCGAAGGAATGTGTATTCCCTCCCACCTGAAAACCAGTTTGAGACTAAAATAGTTTTATATTGACAGAATTAGAGCCGTTTCAGTTAAGGTCTAAAATAACATTTTTCCAATTATCTTGCGGTATTGCAAGATCAGTTACGAGTACGGTTCGCAAATTCCTTTTAGTTACTACCACCACAGCTGGGTGGGAATGGGTTTGAAATTATTATTGTGAAGGATTGAAAAAAGTTCTTTGAGTTTGGCTCCAGTGGAAATAATGAGCTAACAGTGGGGTTTACTTCACAAACTAAAGGCTAACCTGGTAGCTGGTGAGTTCATGTGCTCTGGTCCTCATGTGGTCAAGCCGTTGACCCAGAGCTCCTCCAAGAGCTGCTAGTCTCCCTTTCAGACAGTCCAGATTGTCCTCCAGCAGGACTCGGTCTTCATCTTTAAACCCTGAAGAGCCAGCGAGCACAGCCTGGCTGAGCTTCACCTCCTCAACCACGTGCTTCACATCGTTCTCCAGGATCTGCAGAGATCAGAATAAAGCAGAACGGCTTCAAAAATTACACATGTGCAAATTTAAACAAACATTTAAAGAGAAAAGTTCACGATCTTTGTGCATTCGATTTTCAAATAATTCAGAACTCTAAACAGGGGAATAAATTACTTTGTAAAAATAAAATATTTTAACAGATTCACAATCATAAGGATAACTAGAAAAATGTCATTTCCTGTGAAAATGCAGTGTGAATGCTTATTCCAGAAGAACTTGCTGAGAAACAGCTGAAATTAGCTCAAACATGCTGAAGTGTAGCTGAAATGAAAGAACAAGCCTAAATTAGCAGAAGCAGAAAGAATGCGTATTTGCTGAATTAGGCTGAAAGAAGCAGAAGTGAGCACACAAAAAAAACATATGAGTACAATTCACATAAGAAATAAATGAGGCTGTAGCCTCAGAAGAAGAAAGGAGGGGGAGGGGTGGGGTCTGTCTTTTGCTATCGCTACCGCTCAGGGAGCTTGTGACGCAGATACCTGAGTGAGTGGCATGGACTGTTTAGTTAAAATAATCAAGCACAAATCGAGCCTTTGGTCCAGCCCTTCAGTGATCACTGAGCGGGCCAGGCCACCGGGAAATGTCCCAGTGCTCCTGATGGCCAGTCCGCCCTCAGCACAATGCTGTGGCTGGTCGTCTTCCATCAATCAACCTATCATGTGCTGTGTACAATCTTACGTTGAAAACCTGCGATACAGTGAGTCCACGAAAGTCGAAGCGCCAAGTATCGAGGGACTACTGTACAATTTTTTTTTCTTTTCAAATTTAGTGGGTGCGGTTTATATTCAGGTGTGCTCAATAGTCCAGAAATTACGGTAATAAAAGTTAAAAAATTAAACCCATATTCACCTCTTGATTTTGTAGCTGGGTTTCTGCGTTTTCAGGGAGCACTGAGCCGGAGAGGACGTTGTTCTCGACGCCATCAAGCCAAGAGGACGTGGACGAGACGGCTGTGTAGAGTTGCTGCTCCATTTGAGCTGCCTGAGTTTCACCTCCTACACCAGGCTGTGGACAAAATGTAGAACATCAGAAGAGTTTCCAATAGTTTGCATCGTGCATGTTTTGTTGATATATAAAACACACACATGCCTTGTAAAAGCTTTGACTCTCCACAAAAAGATTCTGTGTCGAAGAAGGCTGACTTTCATAGATGTAAGTTAGACACCACTTCAGTCAAAATTTAAAAGGAATCCTGAATCAAGATAAATCTACAGGTGTTTCTATAATTTACTACGTCTGGACCTTGTCATAAAATTATTTCAAAGATGAGATTCAAAGTTCTACACAAGAGAGCACAATTCATATAAGAAATACATGAACTGATTCAGCAGAAACATAGGAAGATATCTGTCAGGTCAAGTGATAACGAGTTTAACTCATGGCAAGAAGTGTGTCAATAAACCATAGAAATGTTTGTTCCACCTGGATTCATTGGGAGATCACGTCACGTGCGCCGCAGTATGGCAGCACTGATGAGCGCTCCACTTCAGCTCGCTCTTTTTTTGTTCCTGTTGATGTTGTTTTTTTACTTTTTGCACCTACACTGCATACCCACGCAGTGCGGGTATGATCGCGACGCACTTTTGAAGTTTTGTGTGTCGCTGCCTTGCCATGCTGCCATCGTGGTTCAGTTCCCGACCCCCTTCCATCCTCGGGCTCGGGCTCGTCATAGCGGCCGTCTCCATCATCCTCCATCTGCCTGCACGGACCGAATTCTACGTAACAGTTTGGTTCTGTGGGGAACTTTGGATGTTCTGTGTCTGCCGGACCTGGCTCTGGAGGGCAGTCATCGTCCGTTGCTGCAGTCGTTATTATCATCAACATGCTGCTAACAAGACCATGTCGCTAAAAGAACCTCACTGTTAACAGAACCACACTGCTAATAGGACCATGCTGCTAACAGTAACAGTGTATTTATAACACTATTTGAATTTTAATTGCTTTTTATTGCTGTATATAGTTGTCTGTACTCTATGTTGTCTGTCTGCAACAGGTCTTCTGTGAAGGACTTGTTTGTACTGATTCATCCTACTTCCATCAATGTATGCTACGATGTTGTTGTTTACTATATTCCTTTTGGACCTTGTAGATGTATTTATTGTTCACTTTTGGAACTTTGTTTTGTACTTCGTTGCATGCTTTGATATTTTTTTTTTTTTTTTGGTGAGTCGACACGGTTCTTCTCGTCCTGAGCAGTTCACTGCATTGTTGACCTTGTGTTGATCTGCATATGACAAATAAACAATAAACTAAACTACCTATTCAGAAAATACATCTTTGTGGGACTAATGAAGCCAATTATGGACATATTTTCTAGAACAGTAAGATTATCCAGAACAAATTCATATACTTTTTGGAGAATGTATTATGTGCTTTAAATTGTTTTGCTTTGTTATTTTGAATATAGAAACAAAGAAAAGAGACATGTAAGAAACCTGAGTGGTCATATCTTCAACTGTCTGTCTGAAGCCATCATAAAGAGTCTTCAAAGAGCATTTGTCGTCTTGGGCGTCCCCTTTAAACAGCGACCCGGCTGTAGTAACTCGAGAAGCTCTGGTAAAAATCTGAAAACAGAAGAACAGCGACAGGATGCTGATGTGTTCTAACATCTGTAGGAAGACCACCCTTTTAAAACCACATGGTACCTGCTGACTTTGGTCCTGCTCCAGAGTTTTTTGTAGAAGCTGCAGTTTAGTTTTGAGCTCCAGTCTGAGACTCTCCCACCTCTGCCTCATCTGTTCTCGTCCTGCCTCCGACAAAGCTTTAGGTGAAAAGGGTTCTGTTGCACTGCAGACAAACCAGAAACAAGCATGAGCGTTCGGTTCTTTCAGGCGCTGTTTGAGCTGAAGTGCTTGCTAACTACCTGGTACTGCCGGGTGAGGCCTGCTGGATCAGAATCTCCTCTCCTCTGCTAGCAACGGACTGAAGCAGCTTTTTCTGTTCAGCAAGCTGCTCCTCCAACTCCTTCAGAAAAACAAAAAGAGCGCCGTCACCCGTGCAGAAAATGCCAGTAAACTGTCAGAGGAATCAACAATGTCCATGCTCAATAATCCAGGTATACAATCCAACAATTTTCAGTCAGAGGAATCAAAATCCAAAACATGAGTCCTCTCACACAACAATTCTGAGTATATGTGCTTTTTAAGTATGAGTGTGGTGGGGTGAAAGGTCAGTTTCACTGATAATGATGCTGTCCACGGTGTGAATCGTCAAACAGGTCAATTAAAGAAAAGGTAAGAACATGAAACTGCAACTTTCAGGTGTGAAGAACTCACCTGTTAATGGCTACCAGCTCATCCAAACCATTTTATGATCATAGTAGCAGACTTCACGAGTTCACTCTGGGAGTGGTCTTACGAAACAACAGGACTCCGTGTGGAGCCATAGTCTGAAGACGTTTCTTATCCTGAATTACTTTCTGTCATATTGATGGAAGACTGGCACATTCTATGGAACAAAAGGTTTGACATTTCTTTGTTCCTCTGATGTCAAGCTGAAATATGGACATGGTTTCAACAAAGGGGTCACATGTGACTTTGACCTTTGAACCCATGCCTTTGAAATCAATAGGGACCATCCTTGACCCATGAGTTCTCCAGTTGCATAGTTTAAAATTTCTCTGTTAAAAGGTTATCGCTGTAAAGCTTGAACAAGGTTGATGACGAGATGACAAGATGACGCCATACCATAATACGTCCGATCTTAAAACGGGCATATGAAAACAAGCGGTGCACCGAGCCCACCGTCACTGAGGAATTTGAATTGTGAATGTTTGTAGTTTCCAAGATGAGTGTTTCTTTGGACTAGATTTTAACCTGGCAACCCAGTTTTTGATAGTGGTCTTCCTCACACCTACATGCAGCTACACACCAAAATAGAAGTCGGCATGTTCATTTTCAAATTCTTCAACTCATAACATTTACATATATACATATATGGTGGCAGCCATCTTGAATTTTATGCCATTTTTGAAAGGATTCTTTCTTGTGCCTAGGTGTGGCCACACACAAAATTAAAGTGACATAGTTTTCATGGTCACAACATGAGCAAAGGGTATTTGCAGTTTCCCCTCTTCGCGTTGCGACGGGGGGGAAACAAACAAGTTTAAAGAATATTTTTTGAAGGAATGCATGTTACCAGTTGCATTCATGCCAGTTTTCAACTGAAATCCTCTTTTGCTGCGAAATGACGCAGTTCTGGTAAAACCTTGAAAATAACATTATTTGTGAGCTCATGCAATTTTGTAAGATGTCACCCTCAGAGGATGTGTTGAGAGTCACTCTCAGCTACTATCACATCAAATTATAGCTCAATATCTGTAAAACTGACTGAGTTGTGTTTTTAAGGTCAATTGGCTGCAGTAGCCATATTGAATCAGATTGACTCTAAAAGTTAATTAGTTGTAGATGTCCTGATGCAAATGCAATTAAACTAATAATGTTTTTTTTTATATCTATACATGTGGTAAATAATAATAATAATAAAAACCTTCTGTCTCTGAAGACTGTCTTCCTGCTGTTGAGTTCGTGTGGTCCGAGCCTGGGCCAGCCAGTCCTGCACACTGGGACTCTGAGAGAGACTGGACTCAGATCCACTATCTTCTGGCTCCTGTAGAGAACCCTTTAGGCGAACGGAGAGGGCAGATTATTTAAAAGAACACACATAAGCAAGAACGCATGACAGTCAAATAGAATGTCGATGCGATGGGAACAAAAATCAGACAAAGATGACCCAGGGCTAACAGCTAGAATCCTATACTAGGTAAGACTGGGTCAGCGTTCCCCTTCAGAACTCCAACAACTGGTCTCCTCTGGTCCTGGACATTTTCAGACACTTGTTGAAAGAAGACAGGATGGTTCCCTGCGGGAAACACGGGCCGGTCCTGAATTATTTAAGATATGCTGCTGCACTGGCGTCAGAAGTATTTGTAATGTGGGGGGGAACACTAGTGTGTGTGTGTGTGGTGGGAGTTGTGGTGGAGGGGTGGCACAGAGGTTAGAAAATGGGCCTGTGATCGGAAAGTCGCAGGTTCAACTCCTGGTACCATCAACATCAAAATGTGGGTGGAAAAGGTGAAACACCTACACCTGCCTCCACCCTCATTCACCCCACTCTGGGCCCCTGAGCAAGTCCCTTAACCCCCACCATGTGCCCCCTAAACAGGTCTCTCTTGAAAATGACTTCTCGTGACTCAGTGAGACTACCTGGATAAATAAAGGTAAATTTAAAAAAAGTGCTCCCCCAGAACATTTTGAATAAAGTATTTCCTGCATTCTGGTGTATTTTAACGGGTTGTTAAACATCTACACTTACCTACATAAGTAAACACTCGATTCAATAACTATTTTAGAGAGCAATAAAAGTAGCTTGACCAACAGCTCTCCTTGTGTGAATAGAGCATGCTTCATTTCTCTCACATATCCTAGCACCCACCACCTGCATCGAAAATTGCTGGAACGTAGCGCTAAGCTAGTGGTGCAGGCACATTAGCTAAGATGCTACAGACGTAGCGCTACGCTTCTCAAATCCTAACCCACCACCCCGTTAACAACTGCTAGCACTAACGTGGCACTAAGCTAGCGTGCAAAACATGGGCGGTTCCCCCTCCTCCTCCCGTAAGCACCCTTCCAAGGCAGATGACCTGGGAGAAACACCGCATGTGGTGTGGAGTTGTTGTAGGTAACCAGTAAAACCCTGAGTTTTTAGTGGTTTGAGTATTCTCCCATTAATCAAGTGGAATGGATTCATTCACGAAGAACTAGAAACAGCGCTGGGTGAACTAACGTTTCATGGTAAATGTGTATGGGGGGGTCCAAATTTTTATTATTTTTTAATGTGTGTATGTGTTTGTGTGTGTGTGTGTGTGTGTGTGTGTGTGGGTGTGGGTGTGGGTGTGGGTGTGGGTGGGACATCCCCATCACATATAATTGTTACAACGCCTATGTGTTGCTGCTATAAAATTCAAAAATTCAAAATTACTTAATTAGTCCAATTTCTTAGCTTAGATATTTGATCCGTTTACTGTGCTTAATGGGTTTATGACATTTGCAATTTATCGCATTCTGTTCCATTTTACAATTCACATAACATCCCAACTTTTTCAGAACTGAGGTATAATGTTGATCAGTCTTTTGTATTTGGCCAGTAGAGGAATGATAAAGGAACAAGATATTTTGGTCAAGTTAATGTGCTATTTTTGAAATAAATAAAAACAAAACAATATATGCAAACATTAAACCTTCTCACCTGGAGGTTAAGCTGTTTGTCTTGCAGCATTCTCTGTAATTCCAATAAACCACTCTTCAGTGTGTGTAACTTGGCAGCCAAGCGCTCAGCCTCCCCCCTGGTGTGTGTCCGGCCCTCCAGCAGCAGGGTCTCGCTGTGCAGAGACAGCTCTGACAGGGCTGACACTTTTTCTTCAATCTCCAGCAGCATGTTCTGCAGAAGCAGGAGGAGAGAGGCCAGCTCAAACATGTTGTTTCACAAGCTTTACGATCCACTCCCTCTACGCAACAGACCCTGCAGGCCCGACCGAGCCCCCAACGAGAGCAGCTTTCTCTGGCCACAGGACAGAGCTCTCATCCTTGGCCCATCTTTCCACCCTCGTCTCCTGTGCAGCATGTTAGCAGTAATCCTTCACTGTCCATGCTCTGCGGTGTACATCCTCTTAGTCAGATTCAGGAACAATTCTCCAAGTAAAAGTCTCCACCATTTGTCAAAGGCCATCGATGATTGTTGATCCAACGTGTGACAGAACATTTAGTTGTTTAATAGCATTGCAGCTCCACTTAAGAATAAGACACTTGCTGTCCCTCCCTCCTGCCTGTTGCTCACTGTATTCTGTAATACCTTACTTGGATATTCAAGCAGCTTTGTGACCTGCACCAACTGGGGACTGTTATATTAGTGATGGTCCCGCCCCTTTGCTTCAAACATCACTGTCCCACAGAAACCTCTGCTTAATCTGCTTAACAAAGGTGCTGCAGTCACTTAGCAGTCCAGCCATCTGAACGCAGTCTGCAACCTGCAGCTCTTTGCTCCACCTGCAGCTGCTCTTGGCGGCTTTGTCAAAAATTAACATGGACATTCATATTTATATTCATAACTGCAATAGAAAACGCTATCCAATTTCATGCATATTTGTGAATGAAATTTTTGTGCAAGAACAATAAACGTAATAAGAGAAGCAAAACAAATGGTGCTAACAGTTTGTTACCCTGTTAGCGGCTAAATTATTCCAACTCTCAGCCACTGAGTGGGACTTTAAAGGAACTAGTGGCTATGCATGAAATCATCCATCCATCCATCCATCCATCCATCCATCCATCCATCCATCCATCCATCCATCCATCCATCCATCCGTCCATCCATCCATCCATCCATCCATCCATCCATCCGTCCATCCATCCATCCATCCATCCATCCATCATACAAAAGGTTAAACTGAACTATGGTTATTGATAACTAGGGTTCAAGATAATGGTGCAGTTTGAAAGATTTCAGTTTTCCAGATAAATTGATATGCATGTCTGAAATGCAGATATGCACTCAATGTAAACAAACGTCTGAATTAACCGAAAACCACATGGAAGCTTGAGCTGTGTGACCCACATTGGGCTGGCTGTGGTCTTTGCAGGTAAACAAATATGGCAAAATCGTACAAGTGCAGCATCTCGGAGGAGACAATTAGGTGGAATTACTAACGTGAATCTGCTGCTGAACACAAAAGAATAAAACTTTCAAGAATAAATATTGGCGCTTAAGTTGGACACCATAAAGACAGAACTCAGCATTAAAAAAACATGCAATATTCGAGAGACTTCTGCATTATTTACTCAATAAATCTGAGCATATATACATAGCAATACATCAAAATCCTTCAACACAGCCGTCCCAAACCGCTTTTCCACGGACGTCGCTGTTGTTGAACTACTTGCAGTCACATCGACTGTTTCTGTAGATAAACAAACCCACGTGGTGGGTGGTCACAGATGTTTATGGAAATAAATATTGTGCGGATTGTGCTTATTTCATTATGCTTTTTTAATCACTTTTCATGACTTTGTAAAGAGTATATTTTAAATACAGCTGTAAGTTTGACCTTTTTAATATGGTTGATGCTAGATGCAACCCCCCCTCACCCAAAAAAAAAAAAAAACTTGCAGTTTTGCACACATATCTCAGATTATTATGTGACAAGTGATTAAAATAAGGCAATCTACAAAAATATGGCAAGTCATAAAAGATGACAAGTCTTTCTGAGAATATTAAAACTTAGAAATTAAAGCTTTAAAGAAAAACTTGTTAGGTCTCTGCTCTTGTTAAAAGAAATAATCACAGATAAATATCCAACAATTTATTTTTTCATTGACCCTTTATCCAGGTAGTCTCACTGAGTCACGAGAACTCATTTTCAAGAGAGACCTGTTTAGGGAGCAGGTGGTGGGGGTTGAGTGCCTTGCTCAAGGGCCCAGAGTGGGGCCAATGAGGGTGGAGGCAGGTGTGGGTGCTTCACCTTTTCCACCCACATTTTAATGTTGACGTTACCGGGAGTTGAACCTGCGACTTTCCGATCACAGGCCCACCTTCTCTTTTTATTATGCTCACTTAGATTAATTATGCTTTAGATGGAAAATTATGAATATTCCACAAATAGAAAAGACTCAACAGCCTGCAACGTTTAAATTTGATCAAGACTGTGCTTCCCCCCAAGTTGGATCATTTATTTTGTTTAACTGATTAAAAAAAAATCACAAAAAATGTCAACAATTTATTATAATTCTTTCATTTTAAAAAGTACAAAATCATATTCTGTTTTTTATATGCAGTATTTGAAAAAAATATTAAATTGTGTTATGTTTATTTCAGACTTTAAATATATTTTGTGGTTTTGGACACTTTATGGAGAGAAGGGACAGAAATGTTTCTGTTGATGGAAAACTTGACAAACTCCTGCTCTTCCTTCATCAATGCTCTTGTTCACACAACAAAAAGCCAATGATCCTTAATTAATAAACAAAAATAAATGCTGAAACATAAAATGCATGTAAATAACAATTTGTTGTATTAGTCAGAAAAAAATGACAGAAGATGCAAATAAGAAAAAAAAAAGTAAATGAAATGCTTGCTTTGCTTTGAGTGCCAGCTGGGGGGGGGGGGGGGGGTTGAATTTACCTGACATTCAGAGAGCTGGTCCTTCTCATCAGTCTCCTCCGCAGGTTTGGCTTCCAGGATGCTCGTTACAGAACGGTGCATTCCAGCCAGCCACTGATCCAGTTCCTCTGCTTCAGCGTGAAAGGTCTGAATGGCTTGTTGCTGAAGCTGAGTCTCCAGACGGTCAGTGGCACGGTCCTGCAGCAGACCACACTTTGCTTATTTTGGCAGTAGCTATTCTGATTTATTTATTGTTTATTATTGCCAAAAGCAAAAGGTCGATGATGTTTTTGTATTTGTATGCATGTGTTTGAATACGTTTGAGCTTAGCAAACAGGAAATGGCACTAACTTAGTCATTTTTACAAATACTGAGCTAAAACTTGGTGTGGTAGTAGCTGAGAGTCATCCTCAACACAAAGTATTAGTATCAACACCACAGTATCACATGAGAGCGCATGAAAATTTTTTTAAGTATGACCAATATGTCTAAAACTATAAAAATTCTTAACATAAGCTGATAACAGCTAAAACTTTATTAACAAAATATAAAACTAGAGAAATTGCATTTCCTGCAGAAATGCAGCGTGAATGCTTATTGCTATTGAAGAACTTGCTGAAAAACATGCTGAAATGTAGCTACAATAGAAGAACAAGCCTAAGTTAGAAGAAGGAAACAGAAAGAACACGTTTGCTGAATTAGGTTTAAATAAGCAGAAATGAGAAAAACAGTTGAAAAGTTGCTGAAAAGGCAGAACGATGCTTAAACTACCAGAAGGAAGTGGAAGAAGCTGAAATAAGCTAAGAAATGTGGAATTAGCCCAAAAAGCTAAACTTAGCATAAAAACAGCTAAAAAGAAGCTGAAATTAGCAGAAATAAGCTAATTCGGCTGAAAGCAGCAGAAATTACCACGAAAAACTTGAATTTATCTGAAAACAGCTGAAATCAGCTAAAAACATGCTAAAAAATAGCTGAAAATGTAGAACAAGCTTAAATTAGCAGAAGAAAGCAGAAAGAACACAATTAGGCTGAAAGAAATAGAAATTAGCACAAAAAGATGAAATTATGTGAAAAAGCTGAAATTGGCAAAAAAAAACAACTGAAACACAGCTAAAAAAAGCAGAAAGAAGCTTAAACTGCCAGAAGGAAGTGGAGCGAGCACATTTCTGATGAATTAGGCTGGAAAAAGTTGAAATGAGTGGAAAACATGTAATTAGCTGAAAGCTAACAGTAGCTGAAATAGTAGCTAAAGCTGAAACTTGCAGATCTAAAGATTTGATGGATATAAAATGAGCTCAATTCATTTTCTATGAGGAAAAAATGGCAGAAAAGGCTAAATATTTCAAAAAGCTAAAGTTGCACCAATACCAAAAGTCGTCGCAGAATTGTCCTGAAAAAGCCGAACGTCTCGATTCATGATTTGTTGAAATAGCTTCAAAACTGCGGGACGAGAATCGTACCGAAAAACGTACGGAAGAAAAATGTGTCAACTAGTCGTGTGAATAAACCTTCACACAACTAGTCGAGCACGGTTCATTTCTACGGTGCGACAGAACTACCTCCAGCTGTTGTTGTTTCCCCGAAGCTTTCATGTAAATGGTGGCCATCCGTTCAGCCAACACAGAGAGCGAGGACTGCATGGCCAGCTGCTCCACCCTGTCCGAGTCCACAACATCAGCAGTCACATCCTCCGAGAAACTCGTCTGCAGCTTGTCGATTTCTTCCTGCACGCGCTGAATCTCCTGTATGAGGCCCTGCACACAAAGACCGAGATAAGGAAACAACGTCTATGAGTAAACAATGTTCATGTTAGCATTACTACAAACTATTTAAATTACAAATGCTGAGTGCCAAATGACTGCTGAATTTATTTTGAAGTAAGACAGAGTTCAAGTTCAAGTCCGTTTTATTGTCATTCACATCATATGTGGTACACGAGGTGGAACGAAATAGTGTACTCAAGGTCCCAGTTACACCCAAAAATAGCAAAAATATAAAGTATATAAAAGAAACAGTATACAAGGATCTAAGATATACGCTAGCTCACACGACGGTCGGACATATATGGCAGCAGCCATCTTGGGTTTTGATGTGACAACCCAGTTTTCAAAAGGAATCTCTTTGTTCACCTAGATGCAGCCAAACACCCAAACTGAAGTTATTTTCAAATGATCATGCTCACAACATGCACGGATGAACAGATGGATGGACAGAGGATATTTCCAGTTCCCCCTCCTGGCTCTGCAATTGGGGATAATTATGGTCTCTGTGAACGCACACATACAAGTGAAGCGGTTTATTAGCTTGAAACGGACCTCATGTGCCGTCATGTGGCTGTCTGGGCTTCTATCTGCCTCGAAGGGCTCACTGAGTTTAGCCTCCAGCGCCTCCATTTTTGAGGAGATGGACTGGAGAGCACTCTGGTAATGTTGCTGCTTCTCTAGAGCTTCATACAAAGACCTCTGCTTCTCACTGATCTGTAAAACAACACGTTACACACAGATTAAAAATAAATACTAATTCCAGTGACAAACTAGATTAAGAAATAATGTGATTTAAAACCAGTAGTATTAAAGTTTTGTACATTTAAATATGAGACCAGCTGTGTTATAGACATTTACACATTGAGGCAGATTTTAAATCACAACATATTCAGACAACAATAATATGAGAACTTGCATTTTTTCACATACCACATTCTTTAAAGTCTCCCACGAGCGCTGCAAGTCATCCAAGTTGGCCACAGACTCAAATGTTGGGTCGTACAACTCTTGGATTGGAGCTCTCGTTAGAGTTTCACGTCCCATCTAATTTAAAAAACAACATTCAAACAGCACCGTCAGCAGATTTAATAAGCCTCAACTTTACTTTCATTCATTAAAAAGGTGAAGGTGCCACAGAAAAACAAAATATTGCCTGCCACTGAAAAGCAAAGATAGATGTTGGTTAGCAAAATATTTAATGAACCACTGGACATATTTTAGTGAAACTTTAACAAAGTATGTTAATCAATAACACAAAAATGGCAATAATTAAATCAAATTTACAGATTTTAAACTAAAATATAACATGTGACATTCTGTAATATCACATAACATCAAGTATAATATTATTTTTCAAGAGCTGACTTGGATGTTGTTACTGAGTCATCTCCAACATCCAAGAGCCAACAGATAATAAATCATGTAACAGTGCATATAACATTGCTTTCTTGCCTTATTATATATATATATATATATACACATGCCAAGATGTAGCCACATCAAAATGGAGATCGGTACCTCACTTAATCTCACCTCACTTATGTTCACAAATTCACGGACAGATGGACAGAGGGTAATTCCAAGACTTAGAAATAAGACTAAAGAACCAGACAGAATCTAACAAACACTCAGGGGTCTGAAATTAGGAGATGTGAACGAGTCATGAAGAGGAGAAGATGGATACCTTGGCATTAGCGCCTTCAGAGTGAGCGACAGGAGAAGGAGAACGGCACAGAGGAGAGAAGGAGACCTCACTGTTTGTAGTCTCCTCCCCAGACTCCTCAGTGACCGGTGATAACAGAGTGTGACAGCGGCCAGCCGTCATCTGACACGCCATGCAGGAAACATGAACAGAAGAGCAGATGTGCGAAATTAACGGGAAGAAAATTGTTAAAGGTAATATGTTTGTGTCACTGTACTGAAAAGTATAAAACTGCAACCACAGTTCTGGAAAAGTTGGGACATGCTTTTCAAATCTCATAAACCCATATTTTATTAACTCTAAACATATGTTAGTATATGTTATACTAATATATGTTGGTATATGTTATACTATATACTAGCATAGTATATGTTAGTATGTTACAAACTTACGCTTTGTTTGGTGGCTTCTCAGATTGAGGAAGTCCTTTGGATGAAGGACGAAACGTCTCAGCACAAAAAGAAAATAAATTGCCCAGATGACCTGATTGAAAATTGTTGGATTTTATATCTGGATTATTGAGCATGAACTTTGGTGTATGTTGGGGGATTTTTGGTCAAAGTTTATGGATGCACTGGTTGATCCACTATGAGAAGGTGCTATTTATAAGACTGAGCTGAATGCAGCTCCTCAGACTGAAGAAGTCTTTTGGATGAAAGACGAAATGTTTCTACCATTGTTTCTTTTTTGAACTCGTCCGGTGGACCTGACTTAACTTTTTTTAATGTCTTAGTTTAATAATTGAATATGTTTTTTGTGTTTATCTGTAAATAAAATATAGGTTTATGAGATTTACAAATCAATGCATTCAGGCCATGTCAAGTTTGCTTATTTATGTCCAGGAAAGATGCTAGTTTTAAAATGTTATGAGTTTCTACTGTTTTCTTGTTAAATGCACAAGTTGATGCTTCAGCGAATATCTTATAGTTTCTACATGTGTGCATCTCATTTTATCTTTTTTCTCCTCTGTGGAGGAATAATCATTTCCAAACCGTGTGATTTCTGGTAAAGCTGTGCAGCAGCTGACGTTCTCTTACTGTGACAAATTGTGCTGAAGACTTCTTAGATTTCTCTCTGTCCATTTCGTCCAGGCCTTCAGGAAGTCCCTCGACGTCGCTCACCGTCAGCAGCATGGTGGCATGCTTGGCCTTCACTGCTAGCATTTTGCATTTTGAATTTAGTGAAGCTATTTGCTCCTGGTAGCCCTTAATCCTCTGAGCAAGTTCCTGTAAAATGTTCAAAAGCAGTACCAATTAGTTTTATCACAGCCGAACTGCACACAACTACATTTTCATGCCCCAGTCATTTATGGATTGAAGTCAGATGTTGAGTCTTTAATTTGATTTATTTCAGATGTCCAAGTTTATAATAAATTCATGACTTGTCTAGGGTTGTTTCCCCTCATTTATTCCCTCCTTTAAAATCCAGAGGGCACAAACGACAGGGTGGGCATGTTTTACCTCGTGGTGGAGAATCTGGGCTTGCAGCTCCTGAATGTTACTGCTGGGGATCGGTCGGTCCTGAATGACCCGGTGTGCTTCCTCTATCCGCCCCTGCAGGTCCTTCACCTCCTGCTCATATTGCTCGTACTGAACCACAGCCTCCTGGATAAAAAAGAGAAAACATTTTGTACCCATAGCTTTTTTATGGGGCCTTAAAATACACATTCAAATGAGGCAGTGTTGAACACTAAGCTGCTTGTCGTGCCTTTAATTTAACGTAATTAAACGCTGAGTTGCCATCAATACAAAGTTACTGTGCTGCAGTAACAGCGCCCCCTCTCTACCTGCAGGATGTTGCACTGCTGTATCGCAACATGCTGCAACTGGCTGGCTTCTTGCTGCAGGCGCAGAGCCGTGCGGCAGATTGAGAGGTCGGGCATCACTTCTTCAGGAACCTGCAGCGCGCTCTGGCACAGCTGCACCGCCTGCACCTGCTGCTTGAAGCTCTCCATATCTGCCAAGAGACGCTGAAAAACGAATGACAGTATAACAATTATACCTTTCATTAGATGTATGAAAAAACAAAGACAGCTCTGATAGTCACCTGTCTCTGAGCCAGCTGTTCTTTGAGGCTCTGGCGGGCCAACTCTGGTGAGGTCAGTGTGGCTTGGACCTGCTCCAAGGCAACATGCAGGGCCTTAACTTCAAACTCCAGAGCTTCCATACTCTAAAGACACAAGTTTTGTACAAAATCAGTTAAAAAGTTCTGTTGGAAATATTTACATTGTAATAAAACTGAAAAACATACAATCTTAAAATGAAAAGAACATTTTCTGTACCTTGTGTGCGTCCTGCAGGCTCTGCAGTCGAGTTTTGATGCTCTGCTGAAGCTCATCCGTGTGCCGACTGAGGTCACAAACCTCCCGGCTCATCGACTCAACCTGCAGCACCTCAGACAGAAGTTCTACCTTCTCTGCCATCGATTCAAGGTCTCCGTGGAGCTCTCGGGACTCACGGAAAACAGCCTGAGCATGGAGAAACATGACATCAACAACTTGTGTGAACAGGTCTCTAAGATGCAACAGTTCAACGTTCCCTCACCTGGTACATTCGTATCTGCTCCTGCAGATGAACAGAGGAGTTCCAGATGATGTTTGCCCTCACCAGGCTTTTAGCTTTCTCACACCATCTCACAATAAAGTCCAGCATCTCGTTATACTCATCTAAATAGCAAACAGCCTGAGGAGCGGAGATACAAGAGATTTTATCTTACTTTTCTCTGCGGCTGTTCCACGTTATCAGGAAGGATTGTCATGCAGACCAACAGCAGCATCAAATCAGTATGTGATGAAAAACAAACCTTTTTGAGCCAGTTGTTCCTGCAGTCTGCTAATCGACTTGTGTGGTGGTGCATCTCCGACATCTTGTTTATAGCATCACTCAGCTGTTTGGCCAGCAGCGGGTTTCTGCGACTGAACTCTTGTACGGCAGCGTCAAGATCTGAGAGCGAGCGACCGCAGGAGTCCAAATCCTCCAGAAGACTCTGAGAAACAAAACGGCACAGATTCAGTACCACTGGGCTGCAGGTGCTCTCTGATCCAGCTTACCTTCTTCATTAACTCCCATTATCTGCTCTGGACTGTCATCTGATCCACACAAAAATTTAAATTATAAGCATTATGCCCTTAAGTGTTTTTTTTCTTCATAAATATGGCAAGGTTGTCTTTTTAATGCTGCATAATAATGCACTTCATGAAATGTGGGCAAACTGCTCCACTTCAAAAGACGCTGTGTGGTTGACAGCCAAGACAGAGGAGCAAAGCTCATTTTGCAAAGGCGTTGGGAATTATACTGATGCATAAAATCTGATTTTGCGCTAACAAAAGCTGTATAAACTAGAGCCTGACTTATACATAGGTAGGGCCAATAATTTAAGCCAATATAGACGTTTGGGGACGCATCAGTATCGGTGATAATTGTCCTAGTATGTGTCGATATAAGCACTTCTAATTTTCACCCCTAAAATGTTGGAACCAGCTGTAATTGTACAAAGTATCCAGCAGAGGGTGCATGAAGAATACTTTCAGGTCATGGATGTTCACTTAAGTTTCAGTTTCAGCACAGACGAAGCAGGGAGCAATACTGTGTAGAGTATTTTGTTGAACAGAGCATGGTAAGTTTATTTTAACTGCTCTGTAAAAATAAATAATAGTTAGGAAGACTGTTTTTATGACCAGTGCACCACTTGTAAACCTACTGTGGGACTACGTAAAGGGAAACTGATTAGCTTAGCTTCGGCTGCACTAAATAAACATGCCCTGCTCCACTGTTTTCTTAGAGTCTTGGAGGTGGACAAAGCTAAAAAAAAATTCTGCCATTATATCGGTTATTGGCAGTCGCCTACCCTGCCCAATATCGGTTTCGGCAACTAACAAAATTTCCATATTGGTCAGGCTCTAGTACAAACCATCAATGAATCTGATCCTAAGTGTTCATCTATAGTTGTTAATAGAGTTTAAATGATTTCAGTCTTCTGTGTTTACATATCCTACAAATGTAGCAAAAGTAGACAGAATATAGGGAGTTCACCTTGACCTCTTCTTTGGCATGGTCAAGATCTGGTGATTTGTCCTTGAATTTATTTGAGATCTTCTTTAGTTTCTCTGACATGTCGTGGATTCTGGAGCTGAAGTCTTCCTTAATTTCTCTGGTTCTCTGATTTTCTCTCTCTTTGGAAAGAACCTGGAACATAAAAATAAAACAACAAGAACAGGAAAGTGACTCTTGGCATACGGCACATTTGATGAAAAACATAATTTAGATTTAAATGTCTGTAAAATGATGAAGCCTGAGTTACCTGATCTTCAATAGCACCCAGTGCTAAAGAGACTTCTGCTAACTGCATGGAGATCTCAGAGGGGAGTATAGTGTAGAGGTCCAGATACTTGCTTTGTTGTTGCTCAGCTAATTTCTCCACGTTCTGACGATACATGATCACATCCCCGTGTATAATCTACATAAAAGAAGAACATTCAACACAGGAAACATAAAAGCAGACCAGATTAACTAGTAGTTTTAAAAGTTTGAGTATGCCAATGTCCCCTGTTGTTGAGGGATTTGATTAGTGATTATTAGTGATTATTTGATTTTTTGGATTTTTCTACCTGGATTATTGAGCATGCATCAGGATATTGATTAGTGAATGTTTGTAGTTTTCGAGATGAGTGTTTTTCTGGACTGGAATTGAACAGGGAATTAAAGTAAACCTAAATGGTTTTTTTTTGAGTAAGCTATTCAAATGGGGGGGGAGTTACACTATGGAGAAGAACAGAGAGGGGTTTTTTTTGTCTGTTTTTCTTGTCCGAGAGCAAAGCGTGACAGATCCTGGCAATGGGAGGAGCAATTTTATCCACCATTAGGCACAATGGTGGAGCCAGGGGGTGGCAAATGGTGGCCTAGGTCACCATAGAGTGATCTTTGGTCACCCCAAGGACTAACCTGATCATTAGAGGAAACTATAATTTTAAACAATATAAAAACTAGAAAGCATTGTTTGCTCAAATGACAGGGGTGGTCAGTTTAAATAC